TTCTTTCTTTCTTTCTTTCTTTCTTTCTTTCTTTCTTTCTTTCTTTCTTTCTTTCTTTCTTTCTTTCTTCCTCCCTCCCTCCTTTCCTTCCTTCCTACCCCACTGATGCCACCCTCCGAGCTTCGTTCTAGGCCTAAGGTTCTTGGACCACTCAGAGATGATTCAGGCTTACCAAACAGGCCAAGTGTGGGTACTGACTGCCCTTTATGACCAAAGTCACATGAGTCCCTTTCAGCACATCTGCTGAGCCCCAGATTGCCATCTTCCTACATCTGCTCTTCTTCCAAATAGTTGGAGGTCACATAAAAATACTCTTAGCTGCCATTAATTGTCAACAGAAGGAGCCTAGGAGACTTTCGGCCATTGGTGGACCTGCGTGGGACTGATATTTGCTAGAATTCTCCAGTCACTCAGTCATGACTCATGGGATAGAGAGGCACGGTCTCCTTCTCACGATCACACAGATGCCCATGTTTTTGTCCAGGAAGGATGTGAAAGGTGAGGAGGGCCTTGGTCAGTCCAGACCTAGAGGATGCCAGAATGACTGCTCTCCACTGTCCCGTGGGAGGCAGTAAATGGGTGGTGGAAAGAGTGGAATGGGAAAAGAGGGGTCACTAACACCTGTGGCATTTTTCCAGCACGGATCAGGTATTTCTTGGGAATTCTGAATACGGAGTCAGAAGAGCTGGGTTTGAATCCGACAAAAAGATTCCTTAGCTAGGTTACCCTGGGCAAGTAGCTCAACCTGTCTGAGCCTCTGTGCCCTCATCTGTAAAGTGGGGATAGCCATCCTTGTGCATAGTGCCTTAACAATGGAACCTATTATTGCCACTAAGGAGAGGCAGTGTGGTATCACGGGGAGAGAGCCAGTCTCAGTCAGGAAGACCTGAGGCCAAGTCCGGACTCTGACACATCCTGGCTACAGGACCCTGGGCATGTCACTTAAGCTCAGGCAACACTGCGGGACCATAAATTACAGAACAGGTGGTGATCTGTATTAAAAGAGTTTCCCCATGACTACCAACGATATCACAAGTCTGGCCCAAAAAAATAAAACATTCCTATGGGTCCCTGTCCCTCTGCCCTCTCCTCCCAATCTTACCGGTGGTTCAGTTAATAGACAGGGGGTTTTGTTCTCATGCTTCAGTACTTCTCCACTTACTGGCTGTGTGACCCTGGGCAAGTCATTTAACCTCTGTTTGCCTCAGTTTCCTCATCTGTAAAATGGGGATAATAACAGCACCTACTTCCCAGGATGGTTTGAGGATTAAATGAGATAACATTTGTAAAGTGATTAGCACAGTCCTTGGCATACAGTCGGCACAATACAAATATGTACTCTCTTTCCCTTCCCCTCCCTTAATATGTTTGCTACAGTACAGAAAATGGCTAGAGACAAGATCCTTGGCTTTCAGTCTTCTAGCCCATGGACTCCTCAGTGCCAAGTCACTGTAGTGGAAAGGATAGAGTGCTAGGCTTGGACTGAGGAAAACCTGGGCTCAAATCTCACCTCTGACACTAGCTATGGGACCCTGATATAGTCGAGATCCAGCCTGTTTCCTCATCTGCAAAATTAGAATAAAAATACTTCCAGCCCCTTAATCCCTGAGTTACAATGAAATGAGATAATGCATTTAACATGGCATGCAAAGTTTGAAGAGCACTTAAGCATCAGTTATTTATCTAGAATATGGTTTTGGTGTGTCTTTGTCTTGGCACACCCAAGGCTTAGCACAGTGCTTGGAACACAGTAGGCATTTAGTAAATGTTTGTTGATTGATTGATTGATCACATATTTAGAGTTGGAAGGAGCCTTGGAGGACATCCACTCCCATACATTCCAAATTTTAGAGATGAAGAAGCCCAGAGAGACTCGCCCCAGGTCACATAGGCAGGAAGCTGAAAAGCTGGGATTCAAGCACTCCAGCCACGATGCTCTTTCCCCTACAAAGTCTTGTCTAAGGGTTTGTGATGGCTTAAGCTCAACTGATGTTGAAGCTCAGCAAGTGACAGGCCATGGACAATTGGAACAAACAGTGACAATCCCAAGCTACCAAAAGGCCTCATTAGTGACAGGTCTTTCAGGACATTACTCTTTAACACCCTTGAAAGCCCAAGTCCCCGTAAGCCGTACAAAAGTACAGGATGGCACGAGCCAAGAGGTCTTGGGGTGACTACAGAGAGGGTGTCCGCCAGTACTGGAGGAAGGAGAGAGGTGGGACGTGGCCTGAGGAAGGACATTATGCTATCAGACTTCGGTTCTTTGAAGAGTCCTTCCCAATGGGTACACGCTCAAGGAATATGAACAGACAGTTCTCAAAAGAACTGCCAACTCTGAACAGCCATGTGAAAATTTACTCTAACTCATCAATGACACAAGAAACTTAAATCAAAACAGCTCCGAGGTTTCAGCTCACACCCAACACAAAAGGGGGATGTTAGAGGGACTGAGGAAATTGGTCTAATAGCTCTGGAAAGCCAGTTGGAGTAAATGATACTGAAAAGGGAACCAAAATGGCTGTACCCTTTGACCCAGAGAGATGAAAGACAAAAATCTGTCTCATAAGCCCCAAATATTTATTGCATCACTTCTTGTGGTAGCAAAGACAAAGTCAATGTCCACTGATGGGATAGAGGCTAAAGCAAATGTGAATTATGAATGGAATCGATTATTATTGCATGGCAAGAAACCACAAATATGGAGAATTCAGAGAAGAATGGGGAGACGTGTATGAACTAACACAGAGTGAAGTAAGGAAAACCGGAAAACAAAATTCACAGCAACTGCGACAGTGTTAACAGAAACAAAACAAAATGGAACATTGCATAATCATAGGGCAGCTAGGTGGCGCCATAGTGCAAAGAGCACCAGGCTTGGAGTCAGGAACACTCATTTTCTTGAGTTCAAATCCAGCCTCAGACACTTACCTAGCTGTGTGACCCTGAGCAAGTCACTTCACCCTCTTTGCCTCAACTTCCTCATCTGTAACATGAGCTGGAGAAGGAAATGGCAAACCACTCCGGTATTTTTGCCAAGAAAAGCTCACATAGGGTCATGATAAATCAGACATGATTGAAAAACAACTCACCAACAGCATAATCATAACGACCAAGCATGGCTCCAAAAAGAGAGGTGAGAAAACTAGGGACCATGGGTGTGGAATATTGGACATTGGAATATTGGTCAGGCCAGTTGATGTGTTTGCTGGCTTTAATTAACTGCTTTTTTTTTCCTCTTTATTTTTAAAGTTTTGTTCCAAGGGATGGCTCCCTCGAGAAAGGAGGTAGAAAAGTGAAATAAGGGTGAAAATAAAAATTTCAATGTTTTTAAAAAGAATTTTTAGTCTATAGGCTAACAGCTGAAATCTGAGCTGAGAAGGGAGAGCTCTCGGATGGCTCAGAGGATTCACACGGAGTTTAGAGCAGGAAGAGACATTAGAGATCATCAGTATAACCCCCTCCTATTACAGATGAGGAAACCAAAGGCTTTAGAGGTTAAACGACTTGTCCCTTGGGTCTCACTGATGAGATGCGAGATGAACGATGGGAGTGAAATGAAACTTGGACGAGAATTAGGAGACCCAGACTCTAGCCCCAGCTCTGACAATAACTTGAGGGACTTTCCAGAGTCAGTCTCAGAATTAAAAGGGTCCTCAGAGGCCATCTGCCACCATTTGTGGCGGACAAAGAATTCTCTCAGGAATATTGCTATTTCCGCCTAGTTGGGAGTTGGGTGGTGCAGCAGATAGAGTGCCAGGCCCAGACTCATCTTCCTAAGTTCGAATGCTGCTTCAGACACTGCAAATTGGATGAACAAGCCATCTATGCCTCCATCCAATGGATGGGCAAAATTAATCAAATCAGTCCATCAAACAAACATCTCCTTCTTGCTTCCAATGTACTGAGAATCACCAATTTAGGCTGCAAAATGCCTAGGAAGGATCACGGTACACCCCATAAGAGACCTCCTTCCCAGTCCATAGGGACTCATTAATGAGTCTAGTCATTCAATCAACCTTTAACACATCATTGAGGCGATGTCTTGCCACGTTGTCTTCAAAGAGCAGGAGAGTCTTTGCCAAAAGCTTTGCTGAAAAGATCACAAATATAGAGTTTGAAGGGACCTGAGATTCACCAAGTCCAGTCTCCTCAATTGACAGTTGGGGAAGATGAGGCCCAGGGTCTTTGCCAAAGTGAGATCTGAACACAGAGTCCATTGTTCTACATCGATTTGTCTCCTTAGTTACTTTTTTTAAAGCCCATCTCATCCCACCCCAGCCTCAGCACTCCCTCTCTGTTTAAAAAAGAGCCCCATCATTTTCCCTCCAATTTTCTTTTTCCCATCTTCTGCTAGTTCAGTCTCTGTTTGGTCCCCCCTAGGGAGAGGCCTGCTGACTTCACTTTTTGCCTCTCTTACAGCTCAGAGCTAAGCATCCTCCTAGAATGGCACTGAGCTCTGAGTTTGGATGGAAGAAATCTGGGGAGGAGGATGCTTAACCCAACCCCTGCCTCAGCCGGGAGGCTAAAGGCTGATGTCTTTAGGAAGGAGCCTGCCGGAAGTTCAGAGCCCTGCACCAAGTCTTTTTCTCCACCATTAGTATCAGAGGCAGTTACCCTGAGGGTAACAAAAAGGGGTCTGCCCCGGGAGGGAGGGTCTGGTCTGATGCTCTTGGGTTACTGGGGGCAGATTCAGGCTATCAGCAGGTGGGTTAGGACGGGGGCCATCGACATGTGCTCACGTGCATGGCAGGAGAGCCTGGACGGTAAAGTAAAAGGAGCCCAGGATTTGAGGTCCTAGCTTTGCCCTTCTTATCTGTGAGACCCTGAGCGAGTCCCTTCACATCTTGGGGAGTGTTTTCTCAACTATACAGTGCCAGCATTGGACCAGACGAACTCAAAGTTCCTTTCCAATCTGAATCTGACGCTGCCAATCTGTTGGCCCATAATCCCCCCACGACAGTCATCAAGGCAAAGCAGAGGGACTCCCCCTGCCCTGTGTACCTCTCACACACATACACAAACATACACACTATATACGGAGTACTTTATGCAGATGTAACCATACCTATGGGTGTATGGATGTTTATTATAAATAATATATACTATGCATGTGTTTATCGTATATAATATTTATGTGTGTATCTATCTTTTGCTTGTCGTTCAGTCGTGTCCGACTTTTCATGACCCATGGACCATAGTAAGCCAGGCCCTTTTCTCCTCCACTATCTCTCAAAATCTGTCCAGGCTTATGTTCATTGTTTCTGTGACACAATCCACCCATCCCATCCTCTGCCATTGCCTTCTCCTTTTGCCTTCAATCTTTCCCAACATCAGGCTCTTTTCCCATGAGTCCTGTCTTCTCATTAGGTGGCCAAAGTATTTAAGCTTCAGCTTCAGCATTTGACCTGAATAGCCCAAGTTAATTTCTTTAGGTATTGACTGATTTGGTCTCCTTGCTGTCATAGGTATGTGTGTGTGTGTGTGTGTGTGTGTGTGTGTGTGTGTGTGTGTTTGTGTGTGTATATAGACCTGTATGCATACAGATAAAGTATAGCTATATATATATGTATACATATATATTTATATATATATACACATACATAAAGATAGATATAAAGATATATATATAAAATATAGATCTATATACATAAAGATATATATAAAGATACATAGAGATACAAAGCATAGATATATACGTAAAAATATATAGATACAAAGTATGTAGATACATATAGATACATAAAGTATTTTGCAAACCTCAGAGTGGTAGATAAATGCCTTCTGTTGGTACTTCATGTCATCTTCTCTTCCCTCACTCAATAAACTCCAGTGGCTCCCTGTTACCTTGAGGATCTGTGCGGCATTTAAGCCCTTCCCACCCAGCCCCCTCTTACATTCTGCTCCCCTCCACACACTCCGTGGTTTACCTCTGCTGCCTTCTTCTGTTCCTCGTAGTTCCTGATGGGGTGCCTTTGTAGGGTTGGCTGACCCCATATCTGGGATGGGGTCCTGCCTTACCTCCATCGCTTGCCATAATCAGCTTTCTTCAAGACGCACCTGGCTCACATGCCTTTCCTGCTACTGGTGACTCCCCTCCAAGGTTCTCCTGTATCTGCTTCATTTGTGACTTGTACCTAGCTGCATAGGTGCATGTTTTCTCCCCACTGAGGTCAGATGTTTCTCTTTTGGTTTTACATCCCCAGGACTAGCCCAGTGCCTGGTGCAGAATAGGCACTGGCTAAACACTTGTCAATGGATCAATTATTGGTCCCCAGGGCTTCATTTCCCTCTCTAAGCTGTGCTAGTGTTCCTTTTTAATTGACTTGTGAGCTGAGTCAGCTTTGTATGGTCCTCGAGAAGTCCTAAAACAAGATCATGCTTGGGGGCAGGGGGTCAGAATCACAGAATGGTAGAGCTAGAACAAAACCTTAGAGATAATAATAAGAATAATAATAATAATAATAATAATGATAGCATTTCTATAGCTCCTGGAGTTTGGCAAAATGTTTTACAATCATCTCATTTGATCATCATAACAGCCTAGGAGGTAGATGCTATCATTATTCTCATTTTACACTTGAGGAAACTGAGGCAGAGAGAGGCTAAGTGGCTTGCCCAGAGTTGCATAGCCAGTGGGCGTCTGAGGCAAGATTTGAACTCAGGTCTTCCTGACTCCAGGCTCACCTCTCTATTCCCTGTATCACCCATCTGAATTCCAATTTAGTTCACACACACACACACACACACACACACACACACACATTTTACAGATGGAGAAACTGAGTCCAAAGACCTGTTTCTGACTTGCTGAGAAGTATCAGCAAGGGGCTCTCAAACTACAAACAGACTCCTTTCTTCTCCCTCTAGATTCTGTTTTAAACTTCCTGGCTCCCGCTTGTGTTTGGGCTAAATTTCCTTTCTCGCAGCTCCCCCGCAGCCAAGCTCAGAGTTCAGCTCTATTCCAACAGGCTGCCTGCAGGCCAGATCACAACAAAGACAAAGTGTGAAGTCAGCAGGCCCTCTCCCCAGCAGAGAGTCAGCTGGCACGGGATGGGAGAAAGAACACAGTAGGGGAAAAAATAATGCAAGGGCCTTTTTATGGAGAGGGCGTGGTGAGGCTGACGGCGGGAGGGGGGGGGGGAGTGTGGAATGGGCTTGTTTTGTTTCAGTTTGACCTCTTTATTTTAAATGACAAAAGGTGGGGATTCCCCAACAGCTGGGCTCAGAGACGTCTGCTGGAGAGTCAGGGAATGGGAGAGACCAGACATCATAGGACGTCAGAGCCAGAAGGGACCTTGGACCACAGAACATCAGAGGTGGAAGGACCTTAGAACAGAGGATGGCAGACAGGAAAAAATTCTTTCTACTGTCCCTTCTTTTAATGGCTTCCTTCAAGACTTTGCTCAAATCCTGCTTTCTACAGGAGGCCTTTCCGGGTCCTCCCAGCTGCTATTGCCTTCCCCTCTGAGATGACCTTACACCTACCCGGTACATAACATGGATATACTAATTATCATTATGTTATCCAACACCGCCACCACCCCCCCACAATGTGAGATCCTTGAGGGCAAAGACTGTCCTTTGCCTTTCTTTGTATCACTGGCTCTTAGCATCTGCCTAGCACATAGTAGGTACTCAATAAATGTTTGTTAATGGACTAATCTCAAAACACAAAAAATCAGAGCTGGAAGAACCTTAAAAACCTATAAATTGCAGCTGGACAGTACTTTGTAACAGAATGGCAGAGCAGGTCTTCAGAGGGCACTAAGTTGGACCTAGAAGGTAGTGCTATTATTATTTCCATTTTACATTTGATGAAACTGAGACCCAGAGAGGGTAAGTGACTTGCCCAAGGTCACACAGCTGGTGAGTAGCAAAGCCAAATTTTGAACTCAGGCCTCCTAATGTTGCCCTGACTGTATATTTGGGATCCAGACTATACAGGTTCATGTTCACCATTCAGGGATATAAGCTCCCAAGGGACAGTCAGGAACCAGATAGCTCTGGGCGCTTTCTGTCCAACTTATTAAGAACATGTCCAGGTAGTTCCTGGGCCTCCTGCCCCACCCTCAAGTGACCTCACTCCCCCTCCCTGGGCCCCTCCCTCTTAGGGCTTCCCGCATGCCCAGGCAGCGGGACACCAAGGGTCTGAGCCCCGTTTGATTGTACAGACCTCTGACTTGAAGGCTTTTCCGAAGCCTGTGAGGCTGCCGGGGGCAAAGTCTCGACCTGGCACACAGCTCACCACAGCGGGCATTCCGTTCTCACAGGAGAAATTCTTCACAGGGTCCAGGGCAGCCTGATTGCCCAATTTGCAGCTGGAGATGTGGGCCTCATTGCCTGTACAGTCCATGGAGTAGGGCCAGTACCTTTGTTTCCGCCGACTGGCGTACATCCTGAAGGAGAAGAGGAGAGGGCCGAAGTGAGTAGGCTGGGGAGGCTGGTATGGTGGAGGGAACCTTTGGCCTGGGAAGTTCTCAGGCCGTCTGATACAGAGCAAGGAGCCTCTCTCTGAGCCTCAGGTCTCTCCTTTATTAATTCACCAAACATTTATTAAACACCCACCACAGTCCAGGTGCTGTGCTAATAAGCACTAGGGGTCAAAGACTATGATGAAAACGACTTCTGAAGGTTGGAATGATGTTCAAAGAGTCCTCCCAGCCTGGACATCCCCAGTTCTGTATTCTAAGCACCCATCCAACTTTCACATTCTGTGTTCTAAGGGACCTCTGCATTCTCCACTCTAAGATGCTTCTCTCTTGGACATTCTCCGTTCTAAGGTTCCTCCCAGATCTCACATCCTTTGTCCCAAAGATGTTCATTATATCATCTTCCACTCAGTTGTCAGCCCTGTGCAATATGGCTTCCAATGCCTCCAAAGGACTCAAATGGCTCTGTCCAAGGTCCCCAATATCTCCTGACTGCCAAATGCAATCTCCTTTTTCATTCATCCTGTTACCTGCCATTGCTTCTATTTTCTGTAGGTCTTTTGCCCCCCTAAATTTCAATCTCTTTTTTTTTAATTTCTCATCCTACCTTATCTCTGTTACTGTTTCATGCAATTAGCCGCCCCTCCCTCCCCCTGGATATTCATGCCATATGCAGACTGGTGGAAGCAACCAGGGTCTTTGGGGGAGGGGAAATGTAATGACTGTCTTCAGGCAGGGCTGTTATGGGAAGGTAACGTGATGCTGTGAGACTGAGGACTTGGGTTTGAATTTTGGCATTGCCATTTACTACTTCTGTGGCCATGGGCAAGTCACTGGACCCCAAATGAAATGATTAAATGATATATTTGCAAACATTAAAACATAATCTAAATGTTAGTTGTGATGATTATTATTATTAATCTCTCTGGGTCTCAGTTTCCTCATTTGAAAAAATCAGGGGGTTGGATTAGATGACCTCAGAGGTCCCTCCAGTCCTAAATTCCATGAGTTTCTGTGAACGAGGGATTTGACTTTTTCTGTTTGGTCTCACAAGAAAGAATTAGGAGCAAGACAGTAGAAGACATGGAGGGGCAAATTTCGGCCCAACATCAGGAAAAAAATAGACTTTAAACTTTTCCAAAGGGAAAGGGCCACCAGGAAAGTAATGGGCTCCCATCAATAGCAGTCTTCAAGTAAAGGCTAGAGGACCCTGTGCCTAGGTGGTGCCATAGTGGACAGAGCGCTGGGCCTGGAGTCAGGAAGACTCATCTTCCTGAGTTCAAATCTGGCCTCAGGCACTTACTAGCTGGGTGACCCTGAGCAAGTCACTTCACCCTGTTTGCCTCAGTTTCTTCAACTGTAAAATGACCTGGAGAAGGCAATGTGAACCACTCTAGTATCTTTGCTAAGAAAACCCCAGACAGGTCAGGAAGAGTGGGACACAACTGAAATAACTAAACAACAATGACATTATAAGAGGATTCTCATTCACATCTGGTTTCACTAGATGGTGTCCAAGGTCCCTTCCAACTCTGAGAGTCTGTATGATTCCATCCTATAAGCAACAGGGAAGTATCGAAGGTTCTTGAGCTGAGAAAATCAGTCTTTCATGGGATTAGAGCTACAGAGCGAGAAGAACTATTAAAAGCCATGTGGTCCTCATTTTACAGATGAATAAACTGAGGCCAAGAGAGATGAAGTGATTAGTCTAAGATCACACAAGTAGTATGTGCCGCCTCCAATCAATCAAATAACTTATTTGATTGTACCTAAATATGCCTAGCCCTGTGCTCTGTCCTCAAAGAAGTTTAAAGTCAATTGGGGAAAACCATATGTAAACATATAAGTATAAATGACTGGAAGAAAGCTGGAGAGAGGCAGCCAGGTGGCGAAGTGGTTCGAGCACTGGCCTTGGAGGCAAGAAGACTTTGAATCTGGCTTCAGACATTGACTAGCTGTGGAACCCTGAGCAAGTCACTTCACCTCTGCTGCCTCAGTTTCCTCATCTGTCAAATGGGAATAATCACAGCACTTACCTCTCAGTGTTGTTGTGAAGATCAAATGACATCACATTTACAAAGCATTTTGCTAACCTTAAAACATTATATAAATATTAGCTATTATTATTATTATTATGAAAGCAATATCCAGTAAGGATTGGGGTAGGAGAAACTGGATTGCCAAGGGCTTGGTATATAAGCTGTCATCTTGCTCTTATATTTGGGGCAAAGAGGTTCTTGCCCCAGGAAAGGGATATTGCCTGCACAAGATGGGAATCCACTGGTGACGAGTCAAACCTTGGAACAAAGACCTCAGCCAGCCTGCCTGTCCTCTCACTTCTCAATGTCTCTGCCTGTTCCCCAGGCTCCTCCCTCTCCCCTATACTTGTAGAATTCTCTAACATTCCAGAAAAACTGTAAACAATACCCTTGCCAACTAAATGCTTTTCTTGCTTGGGGAATCCCACCCCAGCATCCTGGGCAGACTGATGCTAGCCCTTCCCTTTGGGATGTCCTGCAGGTCTCCGAGACAGACAGACCCAAGGACTGCCTCACAAAGGCTCGGTTTCTTTGGAGCAAATGAGACATGAATGGAGACAAGAGCCAATAAGATATGAGTCAAGAGGCCGAGCCCGGGATGCCTGCTGTAGAGACGGGTCTACGGCTCTGACTGCTGTAATGAACACCAGGACCATCCCTTCCCTTCTTCCTGTCCTTGTCTCCTCGCCTTAGGACATTGTGTTCCCTCCAATCTCCTTCCATACGGAGGGGCCAGACAGAGGTCTCCCGGGATGTCAGCAAGGGCAGACTTAGAGAGAGCTCACCAGATTGCTCCAGGCTCAGAAAAAAGCCTTTTGGTTAGGCTCTCAATTAACAGGCACAACTCTTGGGAATGTCAGGATTTCACTTACACTGAAGGGGCTGCAGGACTGTGGTCTGATAATCACAGCCAGCTTTCTCTAGCACTTTGGGATGACAAAGTCCTTCACATGGCTCATCTCATTTGATTTCCCTGTGAGGTCGGCATTTACAGATAAAGAAACTGAGGCTCAGAGAGGTGCACTGATTTTGCCCAGGGTCACATATGCAGTAAGCATCGGAGGCAGGATCTGAACCCAGGTCTTCCCATAGTACGTTGCCCCCAAGGGCAAATGAAGAGATCACAAAATGAGACCTCTTCTTTCTCATGCATTCTCTGATCACTGCTCTCATTACAGGAGTAGAGATTGAGAGCTCCAAGGGACCCTAGAGGCCACTGAGCCCAATCCTCTTACTTTACAGAGAGGGAAACTAAGGCACAATGGTGTTAAATGACCCGGCTAGGGTCACACAGCTAGTATTTAGAACAGGATTTGAACCCAGGTCTTCCTGACTCCCACTCCAGGGGCTATCCCTATGTTACTCTGCCTCTCAGCATAGATTTGTAGCTGGGAGGGATCTCAGTGGGTTCACTGTGCCTAACGCAGAACCAGTCACATAGTAAGTAGGTACTTAAGAAATGCTTGTTGGCTGACTGACTGACTGACTGTCAGAGAGGCTGCTTGGAGAGCTGGGAGGTTAAATGTATTACAGTTATTACTATTCTCATTTTATAGATAAAACTGAGGCTTGGAGGTGGTAAAGTACTTGCCCAGGGTCACAGGCTTGGTAAGTAGCACCAGAGAGGGATGTGAACTCAGGCCTTCCTAACTCCCAGGCCATTATCACATGCTGCATACAACCTTGCCACTTTGCCCCAACCAATGGCATTTCATAATAGTGGATGTCATTAATACATTGGTGTTAATGTATTCATTGTAGTTAATGAAATGGTGGCAATGTCACAGAATGTCACTGTAATGACATCTGAGAGACACATCGTTGAGTTGGAAAAGTTCTCAGTGACCAGCATGTCCATCCACACTTGGACGGAATCCCCACTACGCCGTACCTGAGGAGTAATTATCCAGGCTTTGCTTGAAGACCTCCACAAAAGGTCGTCCTGATGATACAGACCACTCAGGGACATCTCTCAATGTTTTCCTGACATGAAGCCTACAGTGCCCCAGCCCTCCTGGTCTGGGCTTCTAGGGCTCATCCCACATCCACCTGACAGCCCTTTCGATACCTGCAGACAGCCGACACTTCCTCCTGCCTTCTCTTCTGGTTTACCTCCCCCAGTTCCTTCAGGTGATCCCAAATGACATCATCTCCAGTCTCTTTACCATCTAGGTTGCCTTACTCTGAACACTGTCCAGATAATCAACATCCTTCCTAAACTGTGGTGCCCACAACACAACACACAGTACTACAGAGAAGGTCTGACGAGGGCAGAGGACAGAGGGACCTCCCTAGTTCTGGAGTCTACACCCCACTTCACATAGATTAAGAATGAATTAGTGCTTTTGGCTGTCACAACACATTGTTGACTCATAGTGAGCCTAAAATCCAGTAGGCAGCCTTTCCTCTAACCAGACCTCTCCCATCTGGAACTGGGGAAATTGATTTTTTGAACCCAAATATAATACTTTACATTTATTCCTATTCAATTTCATGTTCTTAGATTTGGTCCAAGGCTCCAGCCAAGACCTTTTTGGATCCTGAGCCTGTCATCCAGTATGTATCTTGTATCTATTTACATATAGTCTTCCCTACTAGAACGTAAATTTTTTGAGGTCAGGGACTGTTTTTTACTTTTTTTTAATCCCCAGAGCTTTACGTAGTGCCTGGCATATAATAACATCATAGTCATGATGACAATAATAATAATAATAACATTAATGGTAATAACAACTAGTATCTATATAGCAGTTCCCAAAAATTAATCTCATTTATGCTCACAACAACCTTGGGGATAGGTGCCATTATTATCCCCATATTACAGATAGAAAACTGAGGTCGATAGAGGTTAAATGACTTGCCAAGAGTCACACAGCTAGTATGTGAGGCAGGATTTGAAATCAGGTCTCCCTGACTCCACATTAAGGACCAATTGGGGGATTCTAATCTTAAAGTGCTGCTTAAAGTACTTATAAAGGAATAGTCAACCAATCAGTCAACTAGCTTTTATTAAGTGCCAGGCACTATGCTAAGTACTAGAGATACAAAGAAAGGCAAAAACACAGTCCCTGCCCTCAAGGAGCTTACATTCTAAAGGAAAGACAACAAAGAAACAACTCTGCACATATAAGAGATGGGTAAATTGGAAAGTAATTTCTTAAGGAAGGTACTTGTTGAGGGAGAAAGGCTGGGAAAGCCTTCTTGCAAAAGGTGGGATTTGAGCTGAGTCTTGAAAGAAGCCAAGAGGCAGAGGTGAAAAGGGACGGCATTCCAGGTGTGGGGTACAGCCAGTGCAAAGGCACAGAACTGGGAAACTGAGAAATATGTTTGAGGAATTATAAGAGAGCCAGTGTCACTGGAGCAGAGGATGTGGAAGGGAGGAAAGTGTGAGAAAACCAGAAAGTTAGAATGAGGCCAGGTTGTGAAGGGCTTTAAAAGCCAAGCAGAGGATTTTATATTTGATCCTGGGGGTAATAGGGAGCCACTGGAGTTTATTGAGGACGTGTGGGCTGGCATGGTAGTCCCATGCTTTAGGAAGATCATTTTAAGAGCTGAGTGGGCTGGAGAGAGGACTGAGCCCCTCAGAGGTCAAGACACTTCCCCAAGGAAGTGGTTGGCATATGGTTGGCAAATGTCAGAGGCAGGATTTGAACCCAAGTCTTCTGATTCCAGGGCTAGTGCCAGAAGGGAAGTCAGAAGACCTGAGTTCAAATCCCAGTTTTGTTATTCACCACCTGTGCATCTTTGGGGAGGTGACTTTGGTTCTTGGGCCTCAGTTTCCTCTTCTGTGAAATGAGGGGGTTTGGCAAGATGATCCCCAAATTCCCTTCCAGTCTCCAATCTCTGTGTTCCTGTGATCATGCCTAGAATGCTCTCCCTCTAAGAATCTCCAGCTTCAAAAAAAAAATTTTTTAAATAGGTGGTGCAGTGGATAGAGCACTAGCCCTGAAGTCAGGAAGACCTGAGTTCAAATCTGGCCTCAGACCAAACACTTAACACTAGCTGTGTGACCCTAGGCAAGTCACAACCCCAATTGCCTAAAAAAAAAAAGAATCCCCAACTTCCTTTAAAGCTCAGCTCTCTAGTACAGTGGAAAGAATGGTGGATTTGGAGTCAGCAGACCTGAGTTCTGCTGCTCACTAGCTATATGGGCAAGTCACTTCTCTGTCTGCCTTAGTTTCCTCATCTGTAAAATGGGGATAATAATAGCTGAGAGGTTTTGTGAAGCTAAAATAAAAAGTATTTACAAAGTGCTTTGCAGACCATAAAGCACTACACAAATGCTAACTAGTATTCTCTAGCCTCAGTTTCCTCATCTGTAAAATTAAGGGGCCAGTCTTCTAGCTCTTTGGCTATGTGCCAGCTTTCTTAGGAAGTCCTTGATACCTTTAAGTCAATATTTGCTTAAGTCACTTCACCTCTGTCTGCCTTGGTTTCCTTATCTGTAAAATGAGGATAATAACACCTACCTCCCAGGGTTGTTGTGAGGATTAAATGAGAGGAAAATATATGAAAAGGGCCTTGCAAATCTCAGAGCACCATCTGAATTATCGTCATTATCATGATTATTATCTGGGTGCACATTATAGTACCCTAAGAACAGAAGCTCCTGAATGGCTTTTCTTTGCAATCCCACGCCCGACGTGTGAGTGCCTCCTGGACACTCCGGGTTGTATCTGGCTCCTTTGCTTACTTGTAGACTCCTGTGCTGCACGCAATCATCTCGTCCTTCACTTTCTTTAACAGGGACAGTGGCCCAAGGTGCTGTGGTCCCTCCACCTCAGGCCTCCCAAGCCTGGCAGCAGCTTTGGAAAAGACAACTCTGGGAGGTGTTTGGGAAAATGACAATTTGGTTTTTCTTTTATTTGCTCCACATCTGTTAATCATTTCTCTTCTCAGCAAAGAGCCCCTGGCCCAGGATACAGAACCTCGTAATGCCCAATTCAGTTGTTTTTCAGTCGTGTCTGAATCCTCGTGACCCCATTTGGGGTTTTCTTGGCAGAGATCCTGGAATGGTTTGCCATTTCCTTCTCCAGCTCATTTTATAGATGAGAAAACTGAGGCTAACAGGGTGAAGTGACTTGTCCAGGGTCCTACAGCTAGTCAGTGTCTGAGGCCAGATTTAAACTCAGGAAGATAATCAGTAAGTCTTCCTGACTCCAGGCCTGGCACTCTATCCACTGCACCATCCTGCCTCAAATGGGGCCAGGACGGGCAGTGGAGAAGGAGCCTGGGCCTCCCGCAGGAACATGGTGGGAGATCTGGCTTCTCTGGAGTTAGAAAAAAAAAACAAGCCAAGCTAGTTGCTATCACAGGAAAACTCAACAGTCACAATGTGAAGGCAGAAAGATTTTCTCAGGGAGAGCAAAGTCCTTCTCCCTCCCAGGAAGAAACATTTTGGTTTTGACTAACCTTCTAGCTCACTGATGGGACCATCACAAGCCTCTGAGAGAATCCTTCATGCATGGACAGCACTAGAACGTTTTTGATGGGGAAACAGATTGGAAGGCACTCCCAGACGGGATCAAGTGACCCCATCGCATCTACCATCCTAGCTCTGGAGTCGAAAGGGTCGTCAGAGGCCACCCAGCCCAACCCCTTTATTTCACACTTCTAGAAACTGAGGCCCAGAGAGGTTAAAGGACTTGGCCAAAGTCACACAGGTAGTAAACGACAGAGCCAGAATCTGAGCTCGAGTCCTGCGCCCATAAGCTCCGTGCTTTCAACTCAACTGTAGTTCCACAGCGCAGGGACATCCGGCCGGACTATGGGCAGGCTGCACTCTTGGGGCCAGGCAGGAGGTGCCTGGGAAGGCATGCGGGCGGGCCCCAGATTCCACCCCTCCCCTCCCGCTGTCCCCTCCCTGAGAGAGCTTCCCTCCCGAGGGCCGAGGCGCCCAGCAGCTCAGGCTCCTGCTTACTTGTACACCTTGGCGTTGTACTTCTTCTCAGCCGGGAAGCCGAACATGCCGCAGATGACCCGGGAGTTCTTGGTGGTCCAGCCCTTGTCGCAGACCTGTTTCCAGCTACTACCATCCTTCACCTCCACGTAGCCCTCCGTCACCGGCGTGCGCTTCCGGTACGCGGAGAGGACAGCGCGGATCCGAATGTCGTCCACCTGGATGTTCATGTTCTACAGAGAGAGCGCGGGAAGGAGGGGGTCAGGGGAAGGAACGGCCCCCTGAGCAGCAGCCAGGCCCTAGAGGAGCTCTTCGGACAGGGGGCCGAGTCAGGCGAAGTCTGTGTGCCGAGGACGGGGCTGCTGCTGAGCACCAGGGATGCAAAGAGAGGCAAAGCAACAGTGACCACCATCCAGTGCCTGCCCTCAAGGAGAGCACGGTCTAATGGGAGAGATAACGTGCGGACAGTTACGTACAAGCGAGAGGCTCACAGGATAGACTGGAAGGCATCCCGGTTACAGACGCTGGAGAAGGTGGGCTTTCAATGGGATGATTCCCCTTTTTGTCCCTGTATCCCTAGCACGTGGCATACAGTAGGCACTTAATAATACCTGTAATTGATTGCTTCCCGTGCTAGGAAGGGATACCAAAGAACCATCAGAAACCCACGCCCTTGAGGAGCTTGCAATCTTTTTGGAGAGATGGGGTGAGCACACAAGAAAAACCAGAGCTCTCACTAAGAGTTAAAGTGAAGGGTGCCCACAACTTGGAGTCAGGAAAACCTCAGTCTTGAATATCAGGTACATATTAAATGTGAGCCACTTCGCATCTCCATGCCTCAGTTTCCCCATCTGTAAAATGAAGAGAATGGACTTGATAGTCTTAGACTTCCCTCCCCTCTAAGTCTCTGACCTCATGCTCTACAAACTTCAGGCCACATAGTTGCTTGGCCTCTGGCATATGGAGCCAGAGCACTGGACTTTGAATCAGGGGACCTGGGTTTGAATCCTGACTCTGAGACGATTTGCTGTGTGACCACCGGCAAGTCAGTGAATTTCTCTGAGCTCTATTCTCAACTGTGAAATGGGGATAATAATCATATCCACCTCTCAAGGGAGATGCTGCTTGCAAACCTAGCTTACCTCATAAAAGCATTTTGCAAACCCTCCATGTGGCCCTGTCACGAGGCAGTGGGACGTATTGAGCAGAGAGCCAACCTCAGAGTCAGGGAAACCAAGGTTCAAGTCCTGCTTCTGACAGGTACTATCATTATGACCTTGCACAAGTCACTTAACCTTGCTCAGCCTCAGTTTCCTCATTTGTAAAATGGTGATAATGATAGCACAGTACAGTGGAAAAACCACTAAATTTGGAGTCAGAAGGTCTGAATTTGATCCCCATCTCCCCCACTTGGACAGACTATTTAACCCCTCTGAGTCTCAGTATCCCCATTTGTAAAATGGGCATAGCTTTTCACATCTTCCCTCATGTCGAAGTCCTTGATATTATCTCTGTCATCACAGAATCAATCACAAACCCACAAACAATGCTTCATTTTCATCACTGAGAAAACTGAGGTCCTCAGAGGGGAAGGAATTTGCAAAAGGTCACAGAGCTCATAAGGGGCAGAGACAGTCCTGGGCTGGTGGGATGACGATGGATGGCCCCAGGTTTGTGGTGTTTGGGGAGCAGCGTCTATAACAGCCAAGCCAGGGTGGGGCACCACCAGGGTATGTGTCCCAGGAGATGACAGGCACCATCTAAGCTTTTCCACAGCTGGGAGGGAGCGTCGGTGGCCTGAGCTCCTGGAAAATTTTCTGAGTGACCAGTTATGGTAGGAATTTGCCAGATCTCCTTTTTTGGAGGTCAATCATCCAGGGCCAGAATGTTAATCACCCCCTGATTATTACTAATCATCTCCAGGCTCCAGCCCCCTCTCCTGTGGTTCTCAATGCAGGGAACCCACAGCTGAAGAAACATGGGAAAGGGGGGTCACCCTGGGAACCAGGGATCCTGAGCCCGCTCCAAGCCTGGCCACCAAGCAGGGTACTTCTCCTCAAGGTGCTCTGGACGGTGGATGAGTGGTCCTGGTGGATCATCGATCAACAATCACCTAAATGATTCATCCCAGTTACGAGAGGCAACATGGGAGGTGAAGGGAGAGCTGGAGGTGGGGTCAGGACAGACCAGAATGGCTGCTCAACCCTAAGCAAGTCACTGAAACTCTCTGTGTCCTGGGCAATCTTGTAGTGATAGGACCATAGATTACAGAGCTAGATTACCCAGACCACAGGTTGCCCTCCCCTCCATCCCATAAGGGATCTTAGAGGCCATCTACTGTTGTTTACACAACAGTGTCCAGCTTTTCATGACCCCATGTGGGGTCTTCTTGGAAAAGATACTGGGAGTGGTTTGCCATTTCCTTCTCCAGCTCATTTGACAGAGGAGGAAACTGAGGCAAACAGGGTCAAGTGACTTGCCCAGGGTCACACAGCTAGTAAGTGTCTGAAGCCAGATTTGAACTCAGGTCTTCCTGACTCCAGGCCTGGTGCTCTGTCCACTGTGTCACCAGCTGCCTCTGGGAGGGTGGTCCTGATGTGGTTACATTTCTCAGAGCCAGGGAACATCATGGTGGGTCTGGGTGGGACTCAGTATGGTGAACTCCCAGAACTGCAGATCTATATTAATGGTGTTCCCCCACTGGGAGTTCCCTAAATAAATGACATCACAGATCCAGTCTTCTACAAACAAAAAGTGCACTGAATTTAGAGCCATGGGACTTGAGTTCGAATCCCAGATGGCTACTTATTCCCAAAGTGACCTTACATTAAACAAGTCATTTCACTCCTATGGGCATCAAATCAACATACTTTTATGAAGCATTTACTATGTGCATGGCACCTTGGCATCGATTTCCTTCTCAACAAAACAAATTCCCAATTGTTGGCCCCCAAGAACCACCCACAGGCAGAAGGTGATCTCTGAGACCTTGGAGAAAGGTGCATCCCAGGGCAAGGAGGCAGACTGAGAGTGATGGCGTGGCAGAGATGGTCGGACGTGCAGCACGGGGGACTGGTTATTGGGAATGGGACAAAGCAGAGACAGGAATACAGGGAGCCCAGTGACAGCTGCTCTCAGCCCTGCCAACATGCAAATCACTTTGTGGAGCCCACAGGGTTGAAGGGAACCACTGTCTGGGTACCCAGAGCAAAGCCTGTCTATTCTCACCCCAGCTCCATAAATTAGAGTGTCAGCTTGGCTTCACAAGGCATCATTTCAGCGATTTCGGGTCAGACCCACATGGTGGTGGAAAATATGTCATCTCAAGAACGCTGGTATTTGGCCCCACTTCCCTCGCACGCTGAGCGGAAGGAAGGTCGCCATTGGCAGGATTATGTTTTTCCAGGTCTGCAAAGCATCTTCTTACAGTTCCTCCCATCAGCCAAGACACCTGGGCAGCCTTGAGGAGCCAAGCCCGGGCCCCAGGTGACCACCCTGCCTGCCCATTGGCCATCTGCCTCCAGCCCCTTCCCACCTCTGGAGGGTGGGAGCGAGAGCTACAGAGTGAAATGGGGAAAGGGGAAAGGCGCTGGCTTGGGACATCATCCCCGACCCTAGCTTGGCTGTAGTCCCAGACCTTTGCTTCCTAAGCAGAGAACAGTGGGACCCCAAAGCTGCTCCCCTTCCTCACCCTCCACCACTCTCGGCTCATCTTCCTTCTGAAGGAGTTGTGGATACTGGTCCCAGCTGAAAGGAGGAAAGACTCGGGGCTTAGGGGCTGAGGGGGAAAGTGGGTGACTGGGGCAATCCAAGCCTGGCCCAGCAGGACCCAGCCTAAAGAGGCCCCAGAAGCCGTGGGGAGCTGTCCCTCTAGAGCAGTGAAGCCGCTTCCCTGCTGGATCCAGAAGAGACCTTAGAAGGCATCCAGGGGTTTCCTCCCATCTCACCCCCTCTGCCATTTTACAGAGGACAGAAGAAGAGCTTGGCAGAATCTTAGTGATGGAGACCAGATGAGAACCCCAGAGCACTCACTCCTATCCCTCGGTGATCCCCTTTATCCCAGGATTCTTCTTATTTCACTTGAATCTAGCGTGGTTGGGCATGGTTACAGATCCCGTATGGGGCATCTGGATATGGGCAGGGCTGAATTTGGGGTCAAAGGATCTGGCCCAGCTGCTTGTGACCCTGACCAAATTATCCTATTTCTCCGGGGCTCCATTTTCTCCTCTATGGAATGGGGATAATAATACCTGTCTCATGGGATTGTGGTAGGTAGGGCAGAGGAGAAATAGTATGGGGCTTGAAATCAGGAGAACCCATCCTCTGACACTATCTGTATGATTAGAGCAAGTCTTCCATCACTGAGGCTCAGCATCTGGCATCTGTAAAATGGGACAATAATAGCACTTCCCCTGCTAGGATATTATGAAGCTCAAACGAGACACTGCATGGAAAGTGTTTTCCAAATCTTAAAGCTTTATGTAAATATGAGTCATTATCATCCAAAGCTGCCTTCATGAAGCCATTCCTGATCCCACCTTCAGCTGCTAGCTCCCTCCCTCCCCAAAGTACCAGGAAGTCATTTGTTTTCTATCTATTCTGTAGAAGACCACACAGGTATCTCCCCACCCAGGGCAGGGACTGTTCCATTTTTATCTTGGTAGCCCCAGAACATAGTAGGTGACTAATAAATACTTGTTGATCAATTGATGGAAAAAGCCAAATTGTTACTGATTTAGCCAAGTGCCCAAGGCAAGTTAGCGACTTGGAGATCTTATCATCCATCAACACCAGGTGCCCTTGGGGCCATCTTCAACAAACCTGGATATGAGGCCACATGTCTGATCCCTTCCCACCTTTAAAAGCAGATCCAAACTGAACACTAACGGGTGTAATGATAGTGGCCAACTCAGTCCAGAAGGAGGGGTAAGAGGATGCATCTCCTTCCCTTCTTTGCTGAGGTGGTGGACTACAGGTGAGGAATACTGCATATACTGGTGGACACTGCTGATGTGTCGGTTAGTTTTGGTAAACTAAACTGCTTTTTTCTCTCTTTCTTTTTTCTTCTTGATATAAATTCATGCTGTCTGAGTGGCAGAGGGAGAGTGGCATGCTGGGAGATGATGCTAATGTCTAAATAGTATTAACATTTTAGAAAGAATTGAGGAGAGCAGGCTGCGCTCATACACTTCTCTCCACTTGAGGTGTTTCTATCTCACCCAATCCCTGCCAG